ACTCCTGGACCTGGATTCAATTAAATTTCACTTAGAAAGAGAAATGTAAATGTTGGCACTCTTCCGCAGACGTAACACTATTACAACAGAGTTGATTAATTCTCTTCAGATTCCATCTAATTAAAGATAAAACAAGCAGATGAATTACTGGACCGGTAAGAATTATTTGAGTACCTCCAAAGCCTCCACCTCCAGGTTGTCTCCCTGGAATACCACCACCTGGACTGGGTCTTGGGCCTGGAATCAGTCCGGCACCACCAGCTCCTGCTGCTCTTCCAGGAGGTAAATACGTATTATCAAGTCGCGCCGTGTAACAAGTACCAATTACCGCCAGCAGCATTACCACGTACCTCTTAATTAAAAGAGAAATTATCATTCACATGAAATAACCAATGTCTACTTATCACGAGTACAAATACTGGATAATCTCCAATCAATCAACGGAGAGTTAATACCTGAGTTTATTTCAACTAATAATTAATATCTGATTCGATTTCATCCGGATTTAGTACTCATTCATGTACTTGTTTAATTTCACTGCAATTACTATCCCCCTGACAAGTAACTAATCAATAATTACTTACATAGAGTAACCAATGGTGATTACTGTTTGAATAGCACACGTGGATGCTATCAGTTCGCAATTTTCATAAAATCAATGAACAGGTACATCAAAATAATTTCAATTTGGTATCAATTGTTGTAAATATCTTATGAAAAAAATAACAAACTTAATACTCTAAGGGTTCATGAGAAAGATATTTAAGAATAAAAAAAGACAGTTCTATCTGAAATTGAATGAACACTTTTAATTCTTCAGTGTTGAATTCAGTACTGGTTCATTCACTTCTTTCATGTAAACTCAACAAAATGATTTCGATTTCGTTATCCTGACCGGTACACGTGACAGTTTAACTCCATTCTGGAGTTCTAATCGATTTGTAATAAAAATGAGTTATTACCGTTGTCATGATGAATAGAATTGTTCGTCTCTAACTATTCTCTACGAACGATTTTCCTCTTAATCTTTCCCCCCTCGGGCTCTTCTTTAAGCTCTTGTTCACGATGAAATAAGACTCTTTGTGGAGGATGGGGTTCTCTTTGAGAGTTGGAGAAACCAAGTTTGATGGTAATTGTGAATCTATCGGGATGAAGCGGATCTTATATACCCTGACAACGGGTTGGTATCGTCTTCCTCCCACCTATTGAAAAAGTGATGGGATAAGTCCAGTGCATACCCCCACGATGGGATGAAGAAGAGTTACCAGAGCACTGGGTATAACGACTAGTGCTCACCTTGTTTGGGATACTTCGCATTACCGAGTGGAGAGAAAAATCTAAGAGAGAAAGAGATGATATTGAAAAAAATAGAGTGCAAAAGGGAGATGCGGTGTTAGAAGGAGATGATACCAGTGGAGGGAAATTATTGCGTCAGGCTTACTTGGAGGATGATACAGATCGTCCGGGTACATTTCATGGGGAATCATGAAGGTCGGACCAATCGGGTCACATGAAAGTGAACTACCGCGGTGCATCTTCGCACTCCAAATCTCCATGAATATCAAGTTGGAGTCTTGCTCGCATCAATTAGAGGTACACGTGTGCGTATTCTAGTGATTTTTTTTTAATAGAATGCATTCCTGTGCCGATGGCAAATTTTCTGAATTTTTGCGTAATTCATTCGCCGACATTGCGGATTGATTGGAGTATCTTTGTATTGGTATTGCATTTTGAATTTTTTTTTTCAGGGGTCGGTGAGAGATGCGTGCGGATGATTTCGACAGAGATGAGCTGGAGGTGCACTGTTAAAAATTGATAGGCTGTCAATTTAGTTGGTACGCAGGGAGAAAGAGTTTCTTCATGTTGGATAAACATTTATTTTATGCAATCAATCGTTTTTTTCAATTGGGAGATGCTTTTTCGCGATGTGCAAGAGATGGGACTTGAAATAAGACGGTTTTTATGTTTGATTGACCATTGAATTAGTAAATTTATTCCTCCTTTTCAAAGAACGCAGAAATTTATTTATAAAATTATCACCACGCTTTGTAATTTATCGAGGATACT